GTTAATGCACAGAGCAGGCAGCGAGCTTTGAAGAAGCAGCCCCATTAGCAGGCGGGAGGCCCCTCGCTGGAGACATCCCGCTCTCAGAGGAGAAGGGTGGTTAAGAGCGAGAAGAGGCTATTCTGAGGGCACCGGGCCAATGCCAGCTTAGAGCCCGACAGCCGGGGACCTTTTGTCTGAAAATCTTAGCGCTCAGAGCAGCAGAAAGGCCGCCAGGAGGGTCCCTACCACCCTCTGCAGGAGCCACAGGGCCTGCATCTTCGGGATGCAGCACCTCAGCTGCCCTGCACTGCCCGACTTACTGCTCAGACCGGGCACAGCGCTGGGGACCAGGCCCCGCAGCTTCTTGAGCGTGTTCACAGCCACATTCAGGTAGATGTTCTTGCTGGGGCTTCGGTCGTAGGCCACCTTCTCCTCATTCAGCGCCTAGACACAACACCACTCAGTCCTGGGCACCCCACAGAGGGTCCCCGCCCCTCTGCCCGGACCTGGCCCTGCACCCCAGGGTCACCCACCTTCTCTATGGCCTCCTGGTTGGAGGGGCAGAACTTGAGGCACTCCTCAATGAACAGGTTGAGGTATCGTTGGCGGATGACGGTGGGGACTTTGCCCCCAAACTCTTTTGGGATAATAGGCTTCTTTAAACTCTGGAGGGAACATGGAAACAGCGAGGGTGGCACGCCCCTGCTTGGTCCTCTGACACACTTCTTGGAACCCCTTCCACACAGAGTAGAGCCTGCTGGAATCTGGGCCTTAGTGACCACAGGGGTCATCATGGTCTGGCTGGTGCTAAGAGATGACCACACCAGTGTTGACAAGAGGGGGAGGGCTCATGGCAACTCTGTCTTCTCTCTCTTCTCAATGTTTCTGTGAACCAAAACTACTCTAAAAAGTGAAAGGCTGTGAATTAAAGAGAAAACAAGGGAACAGGAAGACTGTGGTGCTGGATGCATCATGAGTGGGGTGCCCTGGCTCCTGCAGGGAGAGGCAGTTACCTGTAAAGATGGGCTGTGCGCCACACGCTTGGGGGTAACGGTGCTGGTGGTCTTGGACGCCATGCCTGACAGCGTGCGCGTCTTTAGGAGCTGGCTGCCCGGCTCGAGGCCATTGGGAGGCTGGCTGCTGCTGGCCGGGAGGGTCCTCTTGGTACCTGTGGAGGTTGGCGTGGGACCGGGGCTGTGAGTGCAGGAAGACAGCGCACCCATCACCGAGCTGCAGAGCACTAGGCAGCTGCGATCATTCAGCATCAGCAGGATGTGCATCTCAGAGCACAGGGGGAAGAGCAAGGGATGGGAACAGGGGCTATGGAAGGACATTAGGTTCTATCTGCTTTTGGGCAAGTCCATCGAGAAGGGGGACACAAAAAAGGGGCTGTGAAGACCGGCAGGGTAGTCCGGTGAGTGGCTAGGGGCATGGGGAGCCTCTGCCACATGTTCCGGCCCCTGACTCCAAAGCATTGACGTCTGAGAGAGGAAAGGCCCTGGTTCCTGGACTGAGGACCAGAGGGTCTGGGACAACCCAGCCTGGTCATTGTGACCCAGCCGGCCTGTCTGCTGCTGCCTCTGTGTTCTCCTCGCCCTTTGATGAGGTCACAAACCAGACAGTCTCCCGCCCCCAGGTAGGGCAGTGAGGCCAGGGAGGGTGCGTCCCTGAGTGTGTGGGCAGGGGACCGCTGACCAGCTCTGAGCCTGGGCTCAGCCTGATAAAGGAACAAGAGCAGATGAGGAGACCAAGGCACTGAATGGAGGGCCCAGGTCCCTGGCTCCTGGGAATCCTGTGCCAAGGTTGGCCTTGCAGGCCACGTGGGAAGAAAGGGAAGGACACGCACTTTTCAGCTTTTAGGCTCATGCAGATGCAGAATTTCCTGCAGTGCAAGTGTGCAGCCCCGGGTGGGTCTCCCAAAACTCTAGGAGAACCATCTAGGCTCAGCAGAGCCAGGCAGTGGATAGGAATGCTGGCTGCCACAGTGGTGACTTGGATGGCGGAGTGCAAGTTTATGAAACTGTACACATCTCAGAGTGCAATCTCCATTCCCGGGCCTAACCCATTGCTAAAAACCCACAATCATGCCTGTCACTGTCAAGTTCTAACTCAGGCGCTCTGGGGAGGGAGGGATCAGAGTCTGGGCACACCAGGAAAAAACAGGGAGGGCTGTGGATGCGTGTACCTGCAGGACCACCACGTGGAACCTGACTGCCCACTCGGCTGACTATCCAAGGGGGTCTTTAAAGCAGCAGCAAGGACACCGCGGAGGGGGGCAGACCCTTGGGCCGGGAGGCCGAGCCTGCATGTGAAGAGGCTGCCAGGCGGCTCCCGCAGCCTGACCTGCCACACTTCCTCAGCTCCAGGCACCACCACACGGAGACCCTCCCACTGAGTGTGCAGCCCACTTCAGACAAGGCCCAGTGGAGAAAAGCGCCCCTCAGAGAAGAACGAGGAACAGATACAGCAGCCAGCCCCTCTCCCAGATCAGCTGGCTCTGTTCAACTAGAGCCTGGACCTTGGGTTCCATCCCCAGGCCGGCTCCCTCCTCCTAGCACCACTGTCTGCAGCCCAGTGCCCACACTCAGACCAGCCCCCGCCAGGCCACAGGCCTCCAATACCCCAGGAACACGGGGGAGGCAAGGACACAAAGACCAGGCAAGGACAGAGCGGGAGGGCCACAGGGTGACCTCTGGGTCAGGGCCTTGGACGGAGGCGGGAGGACAGTGCTGAGGAGGCTTGGGTCTGGCAGACAGACACCCCTCAGACTCTCCACAGCCAGCCCCCCAAAGCCGGGAGAGGCCCAGAGCCACTGGGCACCGTGCCAGGCCTGCCCTAGCCTCTGCTAACAGTCAGGGGACTGTCTCCCATTTTATAGATAAGCACACTAGGGCCAGGCCAGACCCTACTCAAGGCCACCACCGCAGATATACTGGGAGCCTCGCCTCCCGAGACCCCTGCCCTGGGACTCACCTGCAGCCAGGCAGGGGTTGGGGACGTGGGCAATCCTCCTCTTCTCTCCGGGAACTGAGATGTGGATGGAGGTCGGCTTCTCGGCCGGCTGCTGGGCAGCCTGGAGCCAGCTGGCTGACTCCCTCTGAGCCTGCTGAGCTCGCCGGTAACATACTTCCTGGGCGGTGGGGAACCGGGTGGGGGGGCCCAGGCCTCTCCTCACGGGCTCTGACTGGGTGATGAGAAATCCCAGAGCCCAGCTGTATTTGAGGGGCACCCAGAGAAGTCCGCCAGGGGCAAGAGGCTGATGGTAGGGCCACTGGCAGGGAGGCACGGGCTCCAGGGTAGGGGCTAGGCAGGATGCACCCAGCTCCGCCTTCAGAGCTTGCAGATGCCCTGAAGGAAACCAGCTCCGCACTGTGGCCCTGTGGGGGGCTGGAACACACGTTGCTCCACTTCCGGGTGCCAGCATGGTCCTGTTCTCCTGCTCTCTGGTGTCTAAGAGCCTAGGCTGTGCCCTCACCCCTGATGATAGTGGAAATCCCTGCCTCTGATCAGACTGACACACTGATCCAACCCTACTTAATCTGATCTTCTCGGACCGACTTCTAGAATCCCAGGGCTCCCTCAGGGCTGAATCAACAGGAGGGAGCTCTGAGTCCAGAGCGTGGGGCTCATCCTCTTTTCAGCCCTCCCTGTGTCAGGTCACGCAGTGCCCCACAGCGATCTGGCAACCACTCCTGTCTCTGGGCCAAGGGGAGGAAGCTCGGGCTCAGAGAGGTTTGGCCACTTGCCCAAGATCACACAGTGCAACTCGGAGCAAGACAGGGACCAGGCCCTGTGACCCTGTGGGAGGGCTCACCGGCATCTCTCCCCCTGCTCTGGGCCCTGCTCCCCCCAGCATGGAGCACAACTCAGATTGGATGTGGGTCCCAGGCACTTCTCTGCCAGGACACGGAGTGTTGAACTGCGTCTGCCAAAGAAAGCCATTGACCTTGTTCTGCAGACCGGAGATCCTTTCACTGGGGTCCTGCCAGCCTCCACCCAGGACCCCAGTGCAGACCCTTACCTCCTTGCCTTGCTTGGTGAGATGAGAGATCCTCCTCTTCTGCCCAGGGAACAGAGTGGTCAGACCCAGTTGTTCCTTGTCCTCCACCTTCTCTTCTTTGGGGGGCTGGAACACATGTTCATCGCCCAATGAGGTTCCCTGGCCTCACTACCCACACCCACAGTCAGCCTGGGAGTCTAGGGTGTGCCTCCGAGGCTAACACAGGGAGTAGGGTGGGAAGGGTGGGTCCTCGCCCAGCCCCACCTACAGGTGAGGAAACAGACTCAATGCCTCCCAGCCAAGGACCCCGGGTGCAGCCCAGTCCTGAGCAAACTCCCTATGCCTTACTGGGGATGAATTCTGCAGATACGCCCAGCAGACCAACTGCTTCCTGCTCCCCTCCTCCTCCGCCCATCTGCCTGCCGATCCTGCCCAGGACAGGGTTCAGAAACATAGGAACCAAGGGGATGAAATCAGATGGCAATGCCTCAAAGGGCTGGGAACAGGGCAGTACTCAGGGAACAAGGAGCCAGGGGTCAGACCCTAAGGCCCACACAGAAGCGAAGGCTTCTATGCAGGGACTGATCTATCCTGCTGTTTTGCCCGGCCGAGTGGCTCAGTGGTTGAGTGTTGATCTATGAACCAGGAGGTCACAGTTCCATTCCCAGTCAGGGCATATGCTCGGATTGTGGGCTCAATCCCCAGTGTGGGGTGTGCAGAAGGCAGCCGATCGATGATTGATCGATGATTCTCTCTTATCACTGATGTTTCTCTCTCTCTCCCCTCCTCTCTGAAATCAATGAAAAATATATTTAAAGTAAATAAATAAAATAATGCAAGCTCCCTCTGGTGGCTGATATGGGAACGTGGGATGAGGAGACCCAAACAGATTAGGGCTGGCAAAGGTTTGAGAGGGAGGGGAGAGAGAGTAGGGAGGGGAGAGAGAGTAGGGAGGAAAGAAGAGAGATGAGAAGGGGTCAGGGAAGAGGGAGACAGGGTAGAGGGGAGGAGAAAGTAGTGAAAGAAGGGGGAGGGACTGCAGGAAGAGGGGCTGGAAGGAGGAAGAAAGGGGCTAGGGAAGGGAGGAAGACACTGGGAAGGAGAGGGGTTGGCAGTACCCGCTACCCCACTGCTGGTGCTCTTAGATGCTGTCACAGAAGCCCCACCGGGTAAGTCAGAACGCCGCCAATGGCCGTAAGTCAGTGTATTCCTTCTAGACAGGGCTCAGGGGGGCAGCAAGCAGCCACCGAGGGTTCCTGAATTTTGGATAAGTGAAGAAGCCATCTCCACCTCTGCACTGAGACTCCAGTCACAGGGAGACTCTGAGGACAGAGTGCCAGCAGCCTTCCTGAGCCCAGCCCAGACCCTCACCTGCCGGGCCTTCCGGCCCTGTCCTCCATCTTGACGCAGGTGGATTCGTTGAAAATGCGCAGGCACTCCTCCATGGGTCAGAGTCAAAGTCAACCTCCTCTCCAGGGCAGAGTAATCCACGTCTGTGCCTGCCCCCGAGGAGGAGGAGGAGGAAGTGGAGGAGGATGTGGAGGAGGATGGGAGAGAGGCTGGGCAAGGCGATGGGTGAGGGGAGGCCTTGAGGCGCTTGTGCGGCCCCCGCGGGGCTGAGAGGCCCAGGCTAGAGTCCGAGTCCGAGTCCGAGTCCGAACTGGAGCTGAGGTCGGGGAGGGCAGGACAGAGTCCAGGTGCCGTGGGCCCTGGGTCCTCATCCTCACTCTCATCCCCAAAGAGGTCTGCATGGCTCAGGGTCCGCCTCTGCAGCTTGGGGGCCTGGGAGGTGCCCTCGTCCAGCGAGTGGGCCTTCCGCTCTGCCAGCTTCCCAGATGGGGTTTTCCCACCCGTCCTGTCTGGCAGCTGGGAGGCATCCCGGCCAGTGGGGCTGGGGCTTGGCTGCAGCCGAAGCTGGTCAGTCCGGCCTTTCCCTGAGCTGACCACTGAGGTGGCCAGAGATGGCTTTTTCTTGGTCCCTTGGGGCTTCTCTGCCCTGCGCTTGGGGGTGCTGGCCTGTGAGACCCTCTTGTCTACACCGGGCTTCACAGCTGGCCTCCTGTGCTCTCCATCCTTACTCCTGTCTGTTTTCCGGACACCATCCCTGGGGCCAGGGGCCGGTGGCACCCCACTTTTCCTCTTCTTGGTTCTTCCCTTCTTGGGGCTGCTGCATTCTTTCGAGGCCCTGGTTGGGGGGGAGCCAGGCTTGGCCGGGCATGCCCCATTAGGGTCCTTGGGAGGCTGCCCAAGGTCCCCCACATCATACTGCACAGCTATCTCCTTGGTCTCCCGAAGGCTGCCCTCCTCGGGCTCCTGGCCCTCCCTGGAGCCTGACTTGCCAGGACCCTTGCTCTCAGCTCCTGCCTGAGCCCTCAGGGGGCTGGCAGTGGCTGCAGTAGTGTCATCATCTGAGTCAGAGAATCTGGCATCGCAGCCACCGAAGGGGTCACAGGGCTTCTTGAGTGCGGGTGTGTAGGGCTCACTGTTGCCACGGGAGCCCCGGGGCCGTTTAGGGGCCCGGTTATCCTTGGAGCTGGCCCTGTTGAGTAGCCGAGCGGAGAAGTTGGACAGTGGGTCATACTCCAGGTCAGTGGATGGCTTGGAGTCATCCACCACGTACTTGCTGCTGGAGACTGGGCGGCTGTACCGTCTGGGCTGGCTCACGGCCTTGGGGACGTACTCCAGAGCACCACTGCCCCCTCCGCCACGGCCCTGAGCAGGGTCCAGAGAAGCCAGCAAGTACTTGCTGCCCAGCTCAGCAGGAGCGGCCAGTGGGGTGGGCTGGTAGCTAGCATTGGGGCTTAACAGGCTTTGGCCACCAGGGCTGTAATCAAAGGACAGTGGGAAGGCATCCTCATCCAAGCTGGTGGCAGGGTCATGGGGTGCCAGGGTGGGGACCTCAGCAGAGACGTGCTCGCGGGCTGTCTCCAGGAGCTCCTGGTACCGCCGCTGCTCTATCTCCACCTCAGAGCGCACGGCCTCGATGGCCTGGTTGACCAGCTCCAGCTCCAGGATGTCTGAGTGGGGCTCGTCCCCTCTGCCCAGGACGCCATTCTCCCTCTGTGCCGGGAGCTTGGGCAGCTCAGGGTTGTACGGGTCATAACCAAGGCCTGAAACAGTAAGAGGCAGGAAACAGTGGTGAGCAGGCCTGTGAAGTGGCAGCCACATGAGGCAGCAACCAGCCACTGCCTTGACCCAGATAACTGCCTTCCAGAACCTAGCAAGGGCTAGGCTTCCAGCAGACCCCCACTGAGGCTCAGCCTGCACAAGGATTCCACAGCACCCCTCCATCCAGGCCCTACCTTGCAGAGGCTGATAAGAGGGGTGAGAGGTACAGAACCCTGCCCCGAGACAGCCACAAGGTTAAGAGACTGGCATGGCCTCTGGGACAACAACTGGAAGGGGTGGAGACTTGACAGATAAGAAGATCCAGAAGCCGGGTGAGATGGCGATGGGATCGCCTACACGGTAGCTTCCCCCACACTGCTTCCTGCACCTGGGAGCTAGAATGCTGAAGGGGCCTGGCATCCAGGCAGGTCGTAGGGCACAGAGATGCTTGACAGGGTGGGATGGGAGTGTGTGCAGAGCTTCCTGATTCAGGGCTGAGAGTGGGAGGGGAGCAAACATCAGCAGGGTCTGAGGCATGCAAGCCTCTGTCCCATACATCCCCCTGCAGGGCTGTGTCTGTACAAGTGAGAAAACGGAAACCACCACTAAGTAGCACGAGGACAAAGGACACCCACACACTTTTAATGGAAAACAAGAGGCAGAAGGCAATCAAGGGGGTGATCCCATGGGGGTAAAAGGAAAAAGGACATGCTAGAGGTCAGCACAACCCCAGTGCCAACAGTGTTGGCACAAACCTCAGGACTCACTTATCGACAGGGGTACAGACATCTTCGATGAAATATGAGCAAATACAGCACATTTCAAGAAAGGAGTAATGTACATATTCAAATATACCAACCTACCATAAATATTCCAGAGTTTAAAGTGTTCATCACTAGAAATTCTATCAGATATAATTCTGAAGCATCTCTAAAGAAAAGCCAATGGAGTTGATGTCCTGTGGTTGGAGAATGACAACTGATTCTCCCAGAGTCAGCCCTGCCCGTACCTGGACTTAGACTGTGAGGCCGAGCGTGGACCTCTGGCGTCCAGGACGGTCAGAGAGTCAATCTGTGCTGTTGGAAGGTACTCAGGGTGTGGTGACTTGCCATAGCGGCCCCAGGAAACTCATGCAACCTCATTTAGGGAGAAGTCCATGCGGCTGGCCGCCCACAGGTGACCAGCTTTGCAGGGGACAGTGGCTGGGCCTGGGGTGCCTTTGGGGAGGGGCTGAGGGAGGGAGGAATTCATTGTAGATGCGTAGTCTGGCTTTTAACTTGCATCCCATTTTTGAAATTATATTCAGAAAGGAGAAAGGAAGCATGTATCCGAGCTTCAGATGACGGAAGACATGCCAGGTCTGGGTGGGAGACGGGAGGTAGGACACAGGATTAGATGCCAGTGACAGAACGAGTTCACAGTCCCAGGGGTTCTCCTGTGGGGTGTTCTCCAGCCCAGGTCACCTCACTCCCTAACCTCCCTCCTTCAGTGAAGACGCTCCTGCCCTCCTTGTGGGGAATGGAAGCAAGGGCCCACCGAACGGGAAGTCCTTCCTCTCCCAGGACAGGCTGGCAGGACCAATGGATGGGGGTCAGGACCCAAGCAAAACCATTCCTCAAAGGGTTCTCCAAGGTCAGGTCAGAGTGCAGAGCCTGGGGATTTCCAGCCACTTTGGATCTGAACCAAAAGGGTTTTCCCCGAGGGGTCTATGCTTTGGGAGCCGGTGGAGGAGGCACTGTGCCTGGAAGGAGGGGAGAGGGGTGCGGACCCTGCAAAGTTCCCGAGACCATCTGGTCTCACTGGCTCAGCTGGACAGGGGCAGAGCTCTGCTTTCTCAACGGGAGCCTGGACCAGCATGTTTCCTAAGGGTCATTACACCTGCTCCACCCCCTCCGTTTCCAGGAAGCCCATGAACTTGCTTGCAAGGTAGGAAGGGTAGTGCACTGGGGGGTCTGAGCCACTCACTCTGAAAGGATGCAGCTCCTAGCCCAACCCAACCTTGATCTGAGCACCCAGCTCTGCCAAGGTGGGGCATTCTCAGACCCTCCCTGCTCCACCCGCTGCACCCAAGAGCAAAAGAAACCGCCCAAGGCAGGCGTGGGTCAAGCTCCTGACCCTGCCCTTCTGCGGCCTCAGTTTCCCCACTGGTACCAGAAGGCTAGTGTAACCAGCCTGAAGAACTCTAGACAGGTCTGGGAGCTTCCAGCACTCAGGCCAAGGGCTTTGCTGTAGCCCTGAGGCCGGAGCTCAGCCCCCAAGGCAGGCGCCTCCCCCAAGCCGCCCCAAGGTTATCTGAGGGTTGGTGGGGGACATAATACAGAAGGTACTTGTTCATGCCATCTAGCCCCCTGCCCCACCTGCCCTGGAGGGCCAGTCCCTCAGGGCACCTGTCAGAACTGGAGAAGCTCCCAAGAAAATGTTTGCCAGCTGCCCGATGCTCTGGGGGCCGTCAGCCCACTGGTGGGGGCAGTCAGAAGGCAACTCAACAGGTGGCCCTTGAGGTTGGGAAGGGCCATAGGCACCTTGTAAGGGGTCCTCCAATTACTGGGGGTTAATTTGGGTGGAAGACAAAAGCTCTCCTTTGAGCGCTCACACCAGTAAGCATGCCTCTAGCAAACAAGATTAACTGGGCTGTTTTTCAGAAAAGGGAGCAATCTGGGAATGACTAGAAAGAACCCAAAAGCCTGGCTGAAGGAGTTACACTCTATGAGAAGTCAGACCCCAGGCCTGGCTCCTGCCGCCTACTCCAGGGCGCGGGAGGGGCTGGCTACTCCCTAGCTCCTGGAATAGCCGTGAGGTGGTGAGCCTGCCTGCTGGTCACTTAAGGGATGTCCCTTGGGAAGGCCCCTCACTGGGTCAGGGAGAAAGATGGGGCGAGGCCTCTTCCAGCCCCCACAGCTCACCTTCCCCTGCTCATTCGTGTTTGGCTCTGTGCACCCAGCACCACACACCCATTAGGACCTGGCCCAGCGGAAGGGGAGAGCGATGCGCCTCCTCTCCTGGCTCCAGCACCAGGGGTGGCTCCCTTAGTGACCCTGTCCTCTCTCCGACTCTCTGATCCTGTTTCTGGGACAGGCGTCTAGCATGGCAGAGACCAGCTTCTGGGCCGTGGGACACTGGATGGGAAAATGTTCAGGTGGGGCATGAGTGAGGAAGGGGGGGATGGGGGGCGTGGAACACCGCTGACCACTGAACCCTGACAGGTTGACCCACAAACAAGACAGGTACAGGCCTTTCCCAGTCCTGGCGGGCACCTCCCACCCCTCCAGATCTTTCCTCTGCACAAAAACCCTTCCCCGCTCTGGCCCTATCCCAGCCGCTGCTCCTCCCTGCTCCCACCACACCCTCCATTCCAGAAAACACAGGCACCCGTCCCTAACTGCTGCACACGGGGTCAATGACAAGACACTGAGTGTAAGGACCCGCTCGGGGAGGATGTGACCCCACGGTCTCTGGCTTCTGAAAGCCCAGCCATCGCCCACCCCTCTTCTCTCCCTAGTCTGCCCAAGGACGGAAGGTAAGTGCGGGACTGCACAGCGGTTCCCCCAGCTTCAAACCTGGTAAGACGTCAGCAGGGACTCCTCCAACCCAGGTGCCAGTCAGAGCCTGTTGGTCTGCCCTCCCACCACCAGCAGAAGTACTGGGGACACCAGGAGGAGACAGTCCCTGCCGCACAGGAGATAAGCGGGGACTCAGGACTAGTCATGGTGGAACACCACCAGTGATGGCGAACCTGACACGCGTGTCAGAGGTGACACGCGAACTCATTTTTTTGGTTGATTTTTCTTTGTTAAATGGCATTTAAATATATAAAATAAATATCAAAAATATAAGTCTTTGTTTTACTATGGTTGCAAAGATCAAAAAATTTCTATATGTGACACGGCACCAGAGTTAAGTTAGGGTTTTTCAAAATGCTGACACGCTGAGCTCAAAAGGTTCGCCATCACTGACCTAGACCCACCTGGAATGGCAGAGGCCTTGGGATGGAGCCAGAAGACCCAGGGCATTCAAGGCTGCAGGGGTAGAATAGGTGCAGGGGGAGGCCAAGGGCTCAGGGTCAGAGTACTCCACACTTGGGGCTTTTCTGGAAGGTGGGATCTGGCAGACAGTACCCCCAAAGGCTATCCCCACTGGAGGACCCCCCAGTTCCTTAGAGGGCTGGCCGCCACTCCTTCCCCACAAACCCAGCCTCTCTGCTCCTGGACCCCCTACTCCTGGACAATGGGGTTCTCCAAAGGACAGGCCAGGAGCCTGAAGCCTAGGGGTGAAGGCACCTGGCGACTCACCCAATCTGAACCAGAGGGCCCCACACTGCCCAGGGTACCCTGGGGAGGGAACAGGTAGGCCACCAGGAATGTGCTCCCAGGTACACAGGGGGGACATCCAAGACATGCCCCTGCTAAGGCTGGCTGCATCTAGAGCAGCAGGTCTGGGGTCCTTCTCCCCACTTGGCAGGGACCACACGGAAGAGCTGGGACACTGGTTTGAGGCCCAGACCCTGGACAGCCTCAACTAGCACCCCTCAGCTCTAGGGAAATAGGGCAAGGCCAGGGCCTCAGTGCAGGTGGCACCACACAGCCAGGTCCAGGGGAAGGAAAAGTGTGCCCGGCCAGACCTGGGACCACCACAAAACCCATTCTCTGTACCCCCAGAGCCACCCTGGTATCAGTCATTACACTGGCTGCCGGACCACCCTGCTCCCCAAATCTGGATCCCGGGTCCAGGCTGCCCTTGAAATACCCACTGCCTGGGGCTTAGCAGCCTGGATCCTAACGACAGGCTATGCTTCAAAATATGCAAAATACCTAACAGCATAAAAACTCAAGGAAAGAACCAGAGGGGTGGGCCACAAGGGCAGACAGGCACCCTGGGGTGGGTGAAAGGTATCCTTTTCTCCTTCCAACGTGTCTGTCCTCACAGTCCGTGACAGCACGAATCACTTCAGTGAGCCCAATAAAGAAAGCTTCAAAATAGAGTGGCCCCACTCTTTCTGGTCCCGGTGCATCTCCGATTCCCCAAACACATGAGTTTGTGGTTTTCTTTCCAATGGGTGATTCTGAGGTCACCTCCTCCACTGTGCAGGCTCCCAGGAGCGCTGGCCCCAACCGTGACCTAGCAACTCCAAGCACCTTCTGAGTGAAGACAGGGAAAAGCACATCCTAGTCAGGGGACTGAGGCTGCACTCCTACAGGCAGTCACAGGACATGGGGCCAAGACGAGCGGGGTGCCAGCTGCATCCCCTAAGAAAGAGTCCACACACAGGGGTTACACATGAGCACAGTGGCTTTTATTACTTGACTCTGCAGGCAGGTGCTGGGGAGGGGGTGACAGGGCTGGCTCCTGAAACAGAGCCCACACCCCTGCTCTGGGAAGGCCTCGTGGGCTACGCTCCCACAGGAGGGGACACCAGTCTCTCCAGACAAGCAACTGTGATATGTGACTGCCAAGTAGGTGGGCACAGAACTGGCCTCTAGGACACAGAGGGACAAGTATCACCAGGATGTGCCTGGAGTGAATGTGGCCCAGTGCTCTCTGGACACACCCTCCCATCACCTCCAGGCCTGCCTTCTCTATCCAGCAGCTCAACACACTGACCCCCTGACCAGTACAAATGTCTGCAAAGGTCTGTGGGATGAATGACGGAATGAAATACCAACCAAGAGCCACAGGCCCCTCAATGCCTGTAGCATGTCCATTCCTGAGGACACAGGCCTCTGTCGTGATCAGAAGACAGTCCCTTCAGGACAGACAGTTACCAGCAGCCACACAGCACAATGAACTGGCTCTGAGTCCCCCCATCTCCCTGTCTTTGGGGCGGAGTAGCTGGACTGCGGTGGCACTCCCAGGGCCTGTGCTAGAAAAGGACAAGTTACAAGTCAGTGTGTCAATGGAGACCCCTGCCAGGACTGAGGGATGGTAGTGGTGCTGGGGGACAGCCTCTCCTTCCCCCTTCTATGCTCCTCCAAACCACAGAGCATAGAACATCCCAGGTCTTTCAGCGTACTGTCTCCCTGTCTAGAACCCTGGATTGCGGCCTGCCTCCCAACCTGCTTCCAATACCAGGTAATACTCCTACTCATCCTTCAAGGCCCAGCTCAGTAACCACATGCATAGGGACACATGCCCCACTTCCCTGCAATCCCAGTGCCAAGTGCTCTCTCTGGATCCCAGCCCACATCTGTTATGCTGGACACGCCTCCTTTGCTTCCAAAGCCTGGTCATAGATTCTACTGAACTCACACAGACCTGGAGGAGCCCTTTTGGAGGTCCCCAGGGCCAGCTCCCGATCTTACAGATGACCTGCACGTGTGGGTGCAGGCCAAGGCCACAGCTTGCGAAATGACCAAGTCCCACCCCTCAGCTTCCCATCCTATTCTCCTTCAGCAACCAAAGCAGCAAGCAGGAAAGCAGTTCCCCATGAATGCTTCTCGGCCTTCAATCTGCCTGCTACCTGAGGCTCTGCTGACAGGCACTCCACAGAGCTGTCCCCAGAAAACCTAGTGCCCAGAAGCCACAGGACCAATCTCCCCAAAACTGCCTGCACATGTGCCTGCTTCCTCAAATGATGCATGCTGACCACTGCAGGGACTCCCGAGGACCTGGCCATCACAAAGGACAGTGGCTAGGAACCATCTCCATGATCAGAGTCTGCCCAGATTGGCCCCTCCCTTCCCACTTTTCATTTCTTTCTGTGTTCCATTCTCTGCTGTAAGTCAGATCACACCAGCCAGACTCCACCTGCTGCACACGTGCAGCTCAAAGAATAAAAAACCCAACTCCGGAGCACTCACCACTCAGGTTAAAGAACATCTGATGGGCATTATTTCGTAAAGGGGATTCTGAGGTGGGGTGGAGGTGGAGGAAGACCAAAAAGCAGAAAAAAGGTTTCTGCAGCAGCTCAGGAGTATCAGACAAAGAGGATGCGGCGCTGCTGTTTGTTGAGATCTAGTTTGCAGAAAAGATAACTGAGGCAAATAACACTAACCAGTGGGAAGCCAGGCTGCCCCCTCCCTGTCTGGCTTTTTGCACAATAGAAAGTGAAGCCAAAATGCCTTCACTTGGGTGCCACACCCAAGCCCCCCCCCCCAAACCGCAGTGGTCGGTCCCCCAACCCCATCCAGGGTTCTTGGGCTCCTGTGCATCTAGCCTCTGGGCCCAAGGAGCTAAGGGAGGTGGTGCTTTTCAGGGTCTGTCATCCCTATAGGCCTTGGCTAGCTCCCCCACCACATTCCCAAAGTATACAACAGGTCAGTGCTGGGACACTGATCGTGTTGGTACCACAGACACTTGGGGCTGGTAAACCCATGTGTGTAGGGAAAGGGGCCACCCTGGGCGCTGTGGGGAGTTGGGCAGCATCCTTGGCCCCACCCACTCAATGCTAGCAGCACCCAGTCATGACAATCACAGATGTGCCCAGACACTGCCCAGTGTCCCCTCGGCGGAGGCAGAAGGCCATTGACTCGGTTCAGGTACTGCACAGGTAACATGCACACTCTGCATGACACATCCGGGTCCCTCCTGGTACAGCCATCTTCCCCGGCCCCTCCACAAATCCCACCTACTCACCACCCACTTCTGGCAAGCCTGGGCCCAGAGTCTCACTGCTCTCCTGATCCACCCTAAGCAGAGCATCCCAAAATACACACGCCTGGATGGGGCGAGAGGCCGGTGTTTACAGATCCTAGGCCATCTGGAGGGGCCACCTCGGGAAACAGAACCCAAAAATCAGTGTGGCAGGACCACAACTTTGGTAAAACGACACAATGCCTTTTGTTTTTAAGGCTGGGAGGAAGAAGGGCAAACCGGTCGAGGGGGCACTTGGGTCAATGTACAAAACACTTGTCTTTTGACTTTCTGGTGCGCTCCACTGTTTTTTTAAATGAACATTACTCTGAGTCCTGAAAAAAAAACACCGGATTTGAAGGGAAGGGCCTGTGTGAGGCTGAACCACCGACAGACACTCGGGTTCATTTCACCGGTGACACCGCTAGTGTGAGCCGTGAACTCAGCGCTGGTGACAACTTCAAAAGGACTGCTTTGCCGACCCACGACCCACGGCACCTTCACTTCTGATCCCTTCGTTACAGAAACAGCAAGAACAATAGAACCACCCACCCTGTGCAGCAGCGAAGGCTCCTCCCGTGGGAGGCCTCCAGCTTCCATCCCCGGAACCTGGCGGGCCCAGCTCCCTGGGGGGAGCTGGAGCCACACGGGGACGCACAGCTTCCGGGGAGGAACAGAGAGAGACAAGGGGCCTCAGCGAGAAAAGAAATAACCTCTGACCGGAGGTTACTGTCTCAGCTCAGACCTCACACCTCCTACAAGAAGCCCTGACAGATCCCTCGCCGCTCTCGCCAAACTCTGCCACGGCACTGACCATCGCCGCGATGACATCTAAAGAGAAGCAAGTCCATTAACCATCTCGGCTCAACCCGAAGCAGGACATTCCTTGGAAGCCTGTCCCCGCTCCCGTTCCCGGCACAGGGTTTTGACTTATTCGCTGTACAGTCTCGTCTGACAACGCGGCTTTACACGGAGGAGGCGCAGCCGGGGCCTGGTGCGGAAACAAGGGGAGGCGGTGGGGAGGGACCCCCGCCCCGGGAGCTCAAGCGCCAATCAGGGCCGGGGTCCCGGGCCTGCCGAGCGGGGTCAGCTCGCTCGCTTCCCGAGCCTCGCGTTCTCTCACTCCACCCTCGCGACACCCCTAGGAGGGCATGTTCTCCCACTGTTTACATTTTATACTTCGTGGAAACGGAGGCTTACAGAGGTCCCGCTACTTGAACCGGGCCCCGAGGTGGATGGTCCCGGTCCCGCAAGAGTGTGGGGAGGGGGCTGGGCTGGAACCGGGGGACCGGGGAAGCACCTACGGTGGAGTTCAGGCCCGGGCCGGGAAGCCTAGCCCGCGGCGGGCGAGCGGGCGGGCATTACCTGCTGCGGGGGGCGCCGCTCCGCCGCCGCCGGGCGCGCCCGGGCCCCGGGCCCCGCGGTGCCGGAAGTGGCAGTAGGGCCGCCGGCAAGGACCCCCGGGCGCCCCAGACCAATAGGGGCAGTCGATGGCCCGGAAGAAGCCGGTGGAGCGTAGCATGGTCCGTCCCGTGGGGAGGCCCCAGCCCGGAGCCGCCCACGTCCCCGGGCCCCTCACTGGCGCCGCGATCGCCTCCGCCCGCGCTTCACAGACCCCAACGCCGCCATCTTGCTCCGAGGCCCCCAGAGGCCCCCGGACGCTGCCGTAAAGCTCCGGGAGAGCGGCTGTCCACAGCGCGCCCGATCAGAAACTCCTGATCTCGCGGGATCGAGGCGGGTCGTGAGCCCCTGGGCCGAGACAAGCAGGCGTGAGAGATGGGGTGGAGGGTGCAGACTGTTCTGCCTGAGGCCTCCGACAGCCTCGCCGGCGCCGCCGCCCGGTCTTCAGCGGCGGCAGTAGCGCCATCTTTAGCCCAAGGTCCCTTCGGCGTCTGAGCTGTCCACGGCGCGCCTGACGAGAAAAGCACCCCCCTCCCCCAGGGCCCGCCTATGGCTCATTTGCGTTTAATTTGCGTCATTAGCATGTTCTCCTAAAAGCGCCCTCTGCTGGAAAAGATGAGTCTTGCACCTAGCAACCCCAGTGCTTCATTACTCCACGCTCTAACACTCACCTCCGCCCTGGTATACAGTTGGTTCGCAGTAGTGCTTAATTTCTCCCACCTGTATTCATGTCCGCAATCTAATCCCCAGGCCCAGAGGAGTCCTGTTTTCATTCATTCATTTGTCCACCAAAATACTGAGCACCTGCTCTATGCCAGCTGTTCTAGATGCTATGCTGAACCGTATTTTGTTTAGCCATTAATCCGATGATGGACATGTGGGTTGTTTCCACCTTTGTCGATTGTGAATTGTGCTGCTGTGAACACAGGGGTAGGTATATTTGATTATCATTTTGTTTCAGGACTAGTGTTTTAAATGTGAACGTGTTGCCCATGTTTAGAACTTGGAGAGATGTCACATAAAAACTGCAACCCCCACCCTCTATGAACCGTTGGCTACCCTGGGCCCACCAGATGGCAATTGCCAAGCAGCCCCCTGTGAACAGGGTGGGGAGGTCTGTGCAGGTCCCCTCTCCCCCAGCCCACCTTTCCCCTTACTTTAGCCAACTGGCCCTGCGGGCATTTGAGCTTGAGACCCCTCACACCTCTCCACCAACCACAGAAGGGTTGATTGTGGTCCTGACAATGCTAGTGAGGTGAAATAAGGTCATCCCTGAGCTCACACTCCTAAGTGCTCCATTCATACTCAAGGGCCTTGGCCATTCATTCCCCAAATGTTTACCGAGTATCTACTCCATGCCAGACCCAGTGCTAGAAAATCAGTGAACAAAGCAGAGACCCCCTACCCTGATGGAGGAAGACAGACATAGGAAATAAGCAAATGAGATAGCGTGATACAAGGCAGAAAGTGCTAGATTGGAGGGAGTAGAGCAGGGTAGGGCTGGGAAAAGAAGTGATCCACATAGTCCTATGGGGAAAGTGGGATTTGAGCAGTTCTGAAGAAGGTAAAGAGGAGCCAAGCAGACATCTAGGGGAAGAGCATTCCAAGTGGGGAGCACAGCACATGCAAAGGCCCTGGGGCAGGTCTGTGCCTGGCACGTTGGAGGAAGCCTGTATGGCTGAAGCACAGTGAGCAAGGGGGAGAGAAGAGGTGAGGGCAGAGAGGAAAGGGGGTGGGATGGAGCAGGACCTTTTGGGCCTTGGGGAGAACTTGGGCTTTTATCCTGAGGAAAGGGAGAGCCCTGGAGAGCTGCGGGCAGAGGAGGGGTGGGGCCTGTCTCAGATGTTCACAGGCGCCTTATGCTGGCTGCTGAGGGAGAATTGTCAGGATGGGCAAGGGCAGGACCTGACTCAAGCGCTCACGTGCGCCCTCTGGTGGACACCAAGAGGACAGACTGTAAGGGTGAGGGTAGGAGCCAGGGACCAGGGCTGGGGGAGCTAAGCTGCTCCAGGTGGACCATGATGGAGGCTGGAGCCGGTTGGAGGCAGAGGAAGAGGGCAAAGTGGGCAAATTCTGGGTATGTTTTGAAGGTACAGCTTCAGGGAGGTTCCCGGACGGACTGGATGTGGTTGGTGAGAGCGTCAAGGTCAAAGGTAATCCCAAGGATTCTGGCCTGCACCCTTGGAAAGATAGGGCTGCCAACTGAAGGGGTGATGCAGAAGGGCAGCCTGGGGATGGGCTGGGAACATCGGGT